AAATGATTTCCGAGGGTAGTTTCACTTTGATTTTTGACTTTTTCCAGGCTCTGACGAAGGCGATAAGGCGCCGAAACGTTAGCCAATAAAACTTTTATACCATCTTGGTTACGGCTAAAGCAATACCCTATAGGAATTCATAACAAAACAGTTTTAAAAGAGCAGTGTTTTTCTACTCATGTGGTGGCGGCTCACTTAGCACCATTGCGGTGAAGGTTTTGAACCGGACACTACGACTCGTGCCCGGAAGAAGAATCGGAACGGCCTTTACCCCTTTCTTTCCAGCCGTGAAATCAAAGCTATAGACAAGCAGCAGCGTATATACAGCTGAAATTCCTCAACCTGAGTCCTTTAAAATCATTGCAATTAAAAAACAGAAATGCGTCGTAAGAGTGCTTAGTTGTGGGCAAAAGTCGGACCACGGACGGGATGCGAAACGCGTCGCACTGAACCTGGAGAAAAGTGAAATCATCTTTACTTCCATCGCTCAACATTGCACACACACTCATGACTACTTAGAGAAGCGAGCTACTGCAGTCAGGGCTTCGGAATCTAAGCATGAACACTGCATTTACACAGCCAGCGGTAACTCGACCTCCTGACCAGCTCGACGAGGTGGTACTACATTAGTACTTTAGTACAATTGATACCTTAGTATTATATTGATCAATCTACCTGATCTTGGCTGCTGTCAGATCCTGTCCACGGTATTGAAATTCGCGGAAGCTTCTATTTACTGGAGCCTTTAGATAACGGCAGAAAGCAGAGATTCTGGGAAATATCATTCTATCGGAGGTATAGCACGCATTCCCCCGATGGTGTTTGCAAATCAAGTTTCTAGAGACTTTTGGACGTTCGTCTGAGTAGGAAGTAATTTCTAACAATTAGAAATATGAAGGCTGAAAAGTAGTGGATGGGGGTCAAGGACGGAAATGTGGTGAACGATACGCTCATTTATGCAGTTATAACTCACTGTTATTCCTGAAGTGTTCCACAGTCTTAGCGGCAGTTGACGAGTAACCAAGGCTGCGAAGCATGCACCTCAGTTGAGGTGCCGAGTGCACTATGCCGTCCTGGCTGTAAACGTTGAAACATTCACGGATCTCTGAAACAGTCGACGAATTGTGTGATCGAAAAGCACAAATGAATTCAGTGTTTATGTTTTCCTTGAGTTGAAGAAGGTATGGCATTGCTCCCTTTGACAGCTATAAATCTCAAAACAACTGCACATGCTTGCATATAGGCATGCTACTGTGAAATATTCCCAAAGAAATTAAAAGCATTCTAATCTTGTGCATGACTGTGAGAGTTAAGAAAGGGGAAACTTCTTTTCTCA